TTAAAATCATTTAGGTTTCTTACTTCCTCTATGGCTGTTACTTTTGATCTCCATGACTTGGGAAGACTCTAAAGTATCTTTTTGACTAATTGAGTGTTTAGGAAGTTTTTTCATAGGGCCTTCAATCCTTTGACTATGTTTGTGAATCTCTAATGCATTTGATTTATGGTCTCATTTTCTTTCATCTTAAATAGCTCATAATCATGTGTAAGAAGTCCTATCTTGGATTCCTTAACTTGGTTTGTTCCCCCATAGGTTGTTTTTAAGGTATCCCAAATTTGTTTAACAATTTCACACATGCATACTCTATTGAATTCACTAGCACTTAGAGAACAAAGAAGTGTATTGCATGCCTCACAATTTGTTTATATTAACTTATTTTCTTTGTCATCCCACTCTTTCTTAGTTTTTACAATTGTTTTTCCTTCTACTTCCTTAGTGGGGACAAACGGACCATATAAGATAACATTCCAAACATCTCTATTCTTTTCTTCCAATAAGGATAGTTTCTACCTAAGAAGAATGGAGGTCTTTGAGTTGAATGTCCTTCACCAAGAACAGTTGAGGTGGATTCCATCTTGATGTGTTGAGCATTATTTTCGAATCACTCAAGGTTGTTAAACTTGCAAAATTGAGCCTTAGCTTTGATACCAATTTTTTTTTCAATAATCTCAATGTGAGTAAATCCAAGAGGGAGGTGAATTGGATTGTTTTCAAATTTTGAAGATTCTTTTTCTATTTATAAGAAATAAAATCCCTTTTTAAATTTAAATACTCAATTTGAAAATAAACAAGACAATTGACTTCTTAATGAATAAGAGAAATTTAAAATGCAAGTAAAGTTTAGAAGTTAAATAAGAAGAGAAAAACCAACACAAATACTTTATAGAGGTTCAACCTCCTTGCCTATATCCTCTCCCATACATTCACTAAGGAGTTTAAAGTTCACAATTTTACTAAAGTTCAATAAAATGCCTTTTGTGGATCAAGCATAACTTTTCAATAAACCGCCTTTTTATGGTTAAAGCACAACCACTCTACCTTTTTTACTGGTTAAGGTATAACCACTTAAGTAGATACAATGAGAAGAATGTAAAAACAGTTGGTATGCCTCTTAAAAGTTGAATAACAAATTAGGTACAATGTTCAATGAAGGAATGAGGGCTCAATAAATGCTACATTAGAAGACTTTAAGAATTAGAAAATGAGTATAAAGGGTCTTGAATGGTTTTTCCCAAATTCTTCTCAGTTGAGCTGTGTTTCAAAGTCTTCCAACCTTCATAAATGTTGAAAAAGCTTGTATTTATAATTGCTAAAGCTACAAGACAGTTGAGACTACATTTAATGAGAAAATAGTTGTTCTTAACTTCATTCAAAGCTCCAATGGTCATATTGTATCAATACATATGAATGTATCGAAACATTACCTCTTTTATTTTGGAATTTCCGTTATGATGTATCGATACATTTGTGCATGTATAGATACATTTGAACTTGCCTGCAAGGGTTTTGACATTTTGTTTAAAATGTATCGATATATTTGTCAATGTATTGATACTTTTGAGATAGTTAATATTCTATTGAAAATATATCGATACATTTGATAAATGTATCGATGACTCAAATGTATTGATAGCTTGAGTTTGACTTTTTAAGTTTTGACTTTTCTCAAGAACATGCATCGATAGATTTCACAATCTATCGATACTTGTCTAAATGTATTGATACATAAAAAACATGTATAGATAGATTTGGACTAGAATACATTTTTCAAAGTCCTTTTTCATTGTTTTTCTTCTCAAACTCATTTGAAAGTGTTAAGAGTTGTTTGGACTTGATATTCCAAGACTTAGATGAATTTTCTTTTCGTCATTTCAAAACACATAACTGATTTGAATGCTATAGAGCTAACACAATGGATTCACACTTTTTACCAATGGAATATGATGATGAGGTTTGCATTCAATCCATAGGCTATTCCGTCGGCAACTTGGTCGATGGTTTACCAATGAAATTTTCTAATGAAATTGTTGTATCACCGACTAGATCTGTCTCCAACAGTTTTGTTATTTCTCTGACAGAAATTGTGTCAACAAAATATATAGTTCAAGAATGTTTCGATAAATTATTTCGTCACCGACAAAGTGGCCATTAACGACAAAGGTATTTGTGACCGCATGCCAACAAATTTTTCAGTTAGCATTCCCGTCAATGTTCCAAAACACTAACACAATTTTTTGTCAACGAAGCTCATATTTTTTGTAGTGATTCTTTGAACTGTTCAATCACACCCACAAGGCGAATGAACGGTAGCGAAGAGTTTGTGGGACAGCTTGTCCAAACCATTAGTGTAAGTAAAAAGAATGACCCATTTATGTTTCATTATATTATCATTTAACAATTTAATTTCTAATTCATTTCAGTTTTTTTATAGGAACATATGCTTTTACATTATCACAGAAGTATGATTGAGAGCCATCATCCTAGCCAAAGTTCGATCTGCAGGCATGGACAGGTTTGGTATCAAGGTCATGGCTGCATCAATGCTTGGTGGAGCTCAGACAACAGAGTCTGCTTGTGGTCAGCGATGTTTTAGTTGCCCTTCAATCAGATTCCTGAGGAACTACAAGCATTGAAGGTAAAAGTTGACTCCATTAACGATGAGATGCTTAATATGAAGTTGAGCAATGCACACATCCTCCAATTTATGGTGCCAAAAAAGCACTTGGGATCTTTCATCACAGCAGCCAAGCTCGCCTAATTATCCAAAAGCGTAACCGAGGGGGTGCTGGTGGTACTTAATTAGATTTGTATGTTTTAGATTAGTGTGTTGTTAAACGATGGGATTTCTTATTCTCTGTCATTGTATATAGAATAATACAATTTTTATTTTTTATTGGTTTTATTAAAAATAAAATATTTTTTATATTGTTATTTATTTTTATTTCTTATTATTCATTTGAAGTCTAAACGGGGAACTAAATTTGATGTTACCTATAGGTATTTTTATATCTATTTTTTATTTATTTGTAGAAAGGATTACCAATGTATATTTTGTCTACCAATGAACTACAAGGAAAATTTACCATTAATATTACCAACGGAATCAGTACTTTACTGACAAAATTACCGACAAAATATTGTTGTTGATAATTACCCATAGAGAGTGAAGATACCAACGTATTATCCATTACCGACAAGGATATCTCTGACTAACTACCGATGAAAATTTTCATTGGTAATTCGTTAGTGTTTGTGATTATGATTAATTTTTAACCTTTATCAACAAATAATTACATCAATAAAAGTCTTTTTTCTTTAGTGTCACTCACATAGTGGGTGTATGTCCATAATTTTGTATAGTTTTTTTATATAATTTTATTTGACATTTAAGTAATTGTGGTACTAATTGAGTTGGTGTCTAATTCTAAGCACAATAACTAAGTGGGGAGAAATAAAAGGAAAAGGTTGTACCGGAAAAAGTAAAAACTTAAAGGAGAAAACTAGTAGTTACAACATAATGGGAGTTGAAAAATAGATCCAAAAAAAGTTTTAATTGAATATGAGACCTGAATCTTAATTAGTACATAGCAAATCAAATTACCTATTTATCTATACTTATATACATTCAGTATCGATTTATTTGGTTTGTGAGTAATTTTATCAATGGAATTGAAATTTAGTGCTTGTTTGACCTGCTTTATTCTCAACTTATTTATTTTTTAAAAGTAGAAGTTAGGCTAAACAATTAATAACAAAATTTAAAAAAAAGGCTTAAAAAAAAGATCCAAATAGGAGCCTTCTTTCTTTTAAACAAAAAAAAACGCGTCAGCTTCTTAGGAGAGTTTTTTTTTTTCAAAAAGATTCTTTCACAAGAAATACCATGTTTCTCCTTATCGATCTCCCACTTCTCTCCCCTTTTAAAAATTAAGAGACAAAACAATCCAAAATTGAAAACTGCATCCGGGTATTATTTCTTCTTTATCTTTTTATTTTTTTTTCATTTTATTTTCTATCATTCTTTTTTTGGGCTTTGAAAACTCTTTGTTAGATATTTCTCAATTTATTATTTGATATGATAATTATGTGATATTTATTTGTTCTTAACTTCTTTTTGGTGTATATTATATTTGTTAATTATGATTGAAATAATTAGCCAAATAGATCAATGATTGTTGAGATAAATTAGATGAAAATTGAAAAGTTAATATTTGTACTTATTTATGGTGACTCAATTTTAAAGAATTTTTTTTGTTAGATATAACAATAAGCTGCACTACAAGAAAATTGAAATAGATTTTAATTCCTTTGGCAATAAGAATTGCAGAATCTCTGAACTTCTTAGCAATAAATTCTACATTTGAGCCAACAGTACCAACAGATGATGTGGCACTCTTTGACAAAATAAATAACCCATTAAAAAATGAGAAAAAAATATAAAAGCCAAGACTTCTTTATTCCTGGAGGGAAATTTTGTTGGTCAGGACATCAAGATCTTCATAAACTTACATGGAATTATTGTTGTATCTATTATTAATACCACCTTGGGTTCTCTTCTTTGTATGTAATATCAATTTTGTTCAGTTCCAAAGGTCATAAATTTCATGCCAATCTTTAAAAAATAACAACAAATATTTTTTCATATTCTTCTTTTATCTTTCAGCAATTCATAATATTATAGGAGAAATTATATTTTTTTTCACACTCATTCAATTTTTTTTTCAAATTTATTAAATACTCTTTTTAGTAATTTTAATCAAAATTATAAGTTGTTTGGTCAAATAGCTTATCCATAAAAAAGAACGTAAATTCATTAAACAGTTTTAACTTAATTTTAAAAATTATTATTTTTTATAATAACTTTTAAACTAAAAAAAAAAACCAAACCAAACATGCTCATAGTAAACTTGTTACATCAAGGCAATAACTCTATCACACCATGTTATACATTAATACAGATAATATGTAGTATAGATAACCATTTAAAAAAGACAATTGCAATGAGAAGAGTAAGAAAATAGTATAGTAATTCATGATTTAAGGTTTTCACAAAATAATCAACTCCTCTTACCTTATTATATATTGCATCAAAACCATGAATAAAAGAAGGGGGAAAGAAAGAAAGAAAGAGGAATAAAATTGAAATTAATACAACTTGAAAAGAAATATGGTTGCCAAAGTTAGATGGCTTAATTTTGTTCCTCTTTATCTTTGCATATCTCAATTCAAACTTGGACCAATCTACTTAACTAAAACTCATATAATATGTATGTATATATAAATATATAACCATTGGAACCTCAAGATGCTGAGCTAACATTCTTGATTTTGTATCGATAGAAAGCACGCTTCTTGTTCTTGAACGGTGCATTCCCTATTACGAGAACAATCTTTCCAGGCTCGTTGTTCTTGAAAGAATTCCGAATTGGTCCTTCCTGAATCCCCATTTTCCTTTCCTTCTGAACAATAATGGTGTAGGACTTGTCATCATCCGGCACAAATTCCTCCTTATAGTTCACTTCCCAACCCAACACGACCAAGTCCCAGATCAAAACACTCCCTGCCTGCTTGTTTCCATAAAACAATTGGCTTTAGTGATATCATAGGTGATCTAATAGTTTCCCACTATTAGTGTTGTTTCAAGGTACTAGTTCGTTTACCTCTGGTGCAGGGATCTCAATTGTTTCCATTGAGCTTGCTTTGACAACAACTTCCTCTGCATGGTCTTCAGCCAAGAAGTCCGAATCATTGTCACGTTTGAGGCCGCCATAGCATACTGGTATTTCTTCTGCATCAATGTACCTGGAACCAACCAAAGCACTAGAGTAGATTAGTCTCGAATGAATTGAATTAAAATATGTATAAGGACCTTGAGAAAATTAACTCTTACTTGAGAAGGGTTTCAATGACCTTTGCTGGCCTAGCATACACAAATTTGCTCTTGGTTCTTTGGGTTAAGAAAGGCAAAAAGAAGGCAGCGAATGCATAATACCAGAAAGGAACATTGATGAAGATCTACAAAGGAAAAAACTGGTCTATCAATTATACATATAGAGTGAGTCAAATGATATGAATCAAATTAGAGGTGAACCAAAATTTTTGGATTTGAACAAGGGGAGATAAAAGGGAATCAAATTAAGAATTGACAGGGAATATTTCACCGTATTAATCTCAAAATTTTAATTTGACTCACTGGATGACAATTCATATTGATTTGATTGTAATATCTTATTTACTCATAAATTGATAGGTGAATTTATTTAATTGCTATATGTCATGTCTAGAAATATTTGAGACAAATTTTAAGTGATGGGACAAGTAGCATGAGTTGAAAGTGAAGAAATGCTTACATTTTTCACAACAAATTCAGGATAGTTGTCTTGGAGGAGGCTAATCACTTGTTTCATGATAAGCCGAACTTCCTTCTTCGAGGGTCCTGGGGTGTTCTTTAGATCGATGATTTGCAGCAAACATGAGACGCCATTAAAATCAAGCTTTTCAATTCCCTCCTCCATCAGTTGCACTCTCCACCTTACAAACTTGTCACGATTCTCTTCTGTCCCTAATGTTTTACTGAACATCTGATCGGCGCCAAGCACCCCAAAAACATTGTAACATACCGGGTGGCCTTGGCGATCACTGCCATTGATGTATGCTGTGGAGCGAAAATCATTGCCGAGATCCTCATCTAGGATGGAATCAATATTGTTTTCTTTTCTCCATTGAAGGGTGTTCCTCAACATCTCGAAAGCATCGATGACCTTGAACTCTCTAGCCCTCAAGAATTTCAATAGCACAACATCGGTTGCCTTACCTCCCTTACAAGGCAATAATGGGACTCCCCAGAGTTTGATATCCTTATCAATGTAATCCCCTTTTCCATCCATAGCCTGATCCTGCACTTTCATCTCTTCAGCTTCTGCGATGACCCTTTCTTCTTCCGGGCCTTCCTGCATGGCATCTTTGTTCTCTTCTTGGATGAATTTGCCTCGCAACCCTCATCTTTCACATCTTCTTTACCTCCATTTTCTTTTGGCTTTTCCATTTCCTTCTCACCACTATTTCCCGATGAGTTTTCTTCATTTCGCTCTTTGACATGACTTTCCTTTACCTTGAACAACTGATTTCCATTTATGGCTTCCTCAACTTTTGATCTAAGCTCTACCAACGCCTTCTTTTCATTCTGTTTTAGATCAGAGAAGAGGTTGCTCTCTTCCTTGAACGACAAACTACTCACGTTAACATTGCATGATGAAACATCCTCTGCCTCAGCTTTCTCATTCAATTCACCATTTTCCTCAACAACAAACTTTGAATTTTGATCTATTTTAACAACTCTTTCTTTGCCTTCATTTTCCTCTTCCTTTTTCTTTGCTTCACCATCCTTCACCTCTCCATCTTCTTTCTCTGCTTCACTACTATCAATCTCAGTTATTCTCTTGGCATCGTCTTTCCTTGCTTGGCCAGTGTACCTCTCATTCATTTCGTTCACATTTTCTTTCTTTGCTTCATCATTCTTCACCTCATTAATGTCCTTCACACCTCCTTCCTTTCCTTCATCATTCTTCACCCCCACCTCTTCTTTCTTTTCTTCAGCATTCATGCTTTCCTCATCTGTTTTCTTTCCTTCACCATTTTCGCCTCCACCTTCTAGCTTGTCTGCTTCAGTTGTTTTGTCTTTCTCATCCTTGGGCAGTTCTTCTTTCTGAGAATCTTCTAAGTTGTCTGATGTACTACCCATTTCGTAAGATTACCAGGAAAAGGTTGAAACAAAGTGTAGGATTTAATCTGAATTAGAGAGGGCAATAAAAATAATAGAAAAAAAATAAATCAAAGGGTATTGAGAAACAGAATGAAAACACAAATCTGTCACTGCTCCTCATTTTCCTCCTGTGTTTTCTCAGCTGCCATCTTTGAAGAGCAGAGAAAAGGCCGTTGCCCGATTATACGGCACCGTTTTAAAAGGCAAGAAAACTTGTGGCATATATAAATAGTTTTTATATTTTCATTTAATTTCCAGACAATAAAAATAGAAAACTCGTTCTCTTGTTCTTTTTCTTCTCCTTTACTATGACACGTGTCCATTCTATTCCCTTCATTTCAAAAGTCAAGTTCAGCCCGGCCACTCCATTTAACTAGGGTTTACGAAAATAATAAAATTAATATTATTTTATATTAGTATTTTAAAGTTAAAACTAAATAAAAATATATTCTTTATTAACACAATAATTCAATAAGATCAAATCGAATCGAGCACAAGCCTAAGATTCTATGACCAAGTACAAGTAACTCGATTCTTGAACACTTTTAATTGTGATAATAATGTTTATAAAATTCGAAAATTGAAATACACTCTGTTTTTTACTTTATTTTTCTATACATGCCATGGGGCAAGTTGATTCCTTTTATTTAACTAATTAAATTAAGGGTTGGGCTATCATTACTCCTAATTATCTATTAACACTCTCCACCAATAATTTATAATTGTAATTTTCTAAATTGTTTTTTATTCAAGTCAAATTTTAACTAATTATATTACCATTTATTTATTTAGACTAGTTAATCTCGAAGTCCATTTCATTACCGGAAAATGACTTAATATGAGAAAAAAAATTTATGTAAAATATTCTAAATGAAAATTTAATATTTATGTTGTTTGGATAAACTGTCAAATTATTTGGATTATATTATGAAAAATATTTTTTGACTTTATGGAAGAGTTATTTAATCGTTAAAATGATAAATAAGATTAGATTATAAAACAATGGTGGCATTTGGTTTTCACTAATTCAGGATCAAAATTAGGAATGGAAATGAAAATAGAAAAAATCAATAATGATATTTTTTTAAAGTATTTAACCATATATCTGTAATGAAACTAAGCTTTAATTTGAAAAAAGAAATTCCATCTCATCACTTTTTTTACCATGATACTATAAAAATATAAATATTCATCAATTGTGTAAAACATCAAAAACTTATGCTTATAAATATGTATTCATCAAATCATAGATATATTTTTTATTAACTATTTGTAAGATTTAAACCTATACATATAAATGTATATTCATCAAATGACAATCATTAAAATATTGTTTATTATAATTATGAGTAAAATTTATTCAATTTATAAATAAAAACTTTTATTGCATTAAATGATTACATTAAAAATATATTTTTTAATTTTAAAAGGGTTGAATAATTTAAAAGTTAATATTTTAAATTGAAAATTATTTTAAATTAAATATTTTTATTTTTTTAATATTTTAAGTTAAATATTACTATTTATCAAACTTATATTCCTAAGCTTAGCATAAAAGGATTTTTTTTGTTCTCCGAAAAATATCTTATGCCCTTTGAGGGCGTAAGATATTTAATGTAGTTAATGGGTATTTTTCCAGCTGACCCATAAAATATTTTACCTCTAAAATCAATTTTTCGTATTCCAAACAAGTATAAGTCCTGGAAATGTTTTTCAAAAAATATTTTACATCAAAATAAACAAACCCTCAATTACTCTCACCTTTTGTTACTACACCTTTTAACTCTGCATAGCTTCTTATATTCCTTATAACTCTTCATTGCTATCTTTCTCTAGTAGTCTTCAATTCAATAATTTTAAGTGAATCTAACAATGGAGTAGCAACAAATGGATGATGAAAACATGAACTTTAATAAAATCTCTTTCCCTAATGGTGAAAATAGTTTGGAATTGGAGTTAAATTCATATCTTGGCATGCTTTCTTATAGTATATTCTTCTTTTCTTTGTTTAAATGTTTTTTGATTTTTTTTATTTTAGAAATTCTTCTCAACATAAACTTTTTTTCCAAATTTAATGAGCATGCAACAATCATTTTAATGATTAATTAATTTTGCAAAGCCAAGTTTAACTTGATTAATCATCGATTTCTATTTTATTTTATTTTTAGAAATACTTATTTAGTTTGCATGACTAGCTTTTTTTCCTAGCTAATGGACTTTCACTTTCAATAATTAGACCCTTTTTCTTTAGGAACAAACAAAAGAAGCCCTTCCAGCAAATATCCACTACCAAATTATTAAGATCTTATGTAACAATAGTATGTTCCATACCCACCTATATAGTTCCAACCTGAAATCCAAAAAAAAAAAATTACTATTATAATCTTAAAGAATTCTTTTGTCCCCTCTCATCATCATAAAATTAATATTAAAAATAGAATTTATATTTATGTATGATTAATGTATGAAAAAAGTTTATATTTAGCAAAGAAAAGAAGGACAAATCAAAAGAAAGCATGCCAAGATAAGAATTTAGCTCCAATTCCAAACTATTTTCACCGTTAGGATAAGAGATTTCATCGAAGTTCATGTTTTCATCATCAATTTGTTGCTGCTCCATTATTAGATTCATCTAAAATCTTCATAGGGAATATAGGAAGCTACAGAGAGTTAAAATATGCATAAAGAAAAAGGTGAGAGTGATTGAGATTAACAAGAAATGTGAATAGATAAATAGTAATATAATTAATTAAAATTTAACTTGAATAAAAAATTATTTAAGTGAGGGTGATTTAGGAGAGTGTTAATAGACAATTAGGAGTGCCAATATCCCCATCCTTAAGTTAAATGAGTTTCTTTGTTGAGCAAAACTTAGAAATAATTTTTTAAGTTGAGTTTGAGAGATTTTTTTTATTAAAAACAATAAAATAAAAATTAATTTTAAAAATCAAAATCTGTAAATTGAGAGAGTTTAGTGAGAAAATCAATCATATAAAAAAGAATTGATTAAAATACTGTTTATACATAAAATTTGATGACTACTTATTGAATACTGAAAACTCTATTATTGTTTAACTTAATAAGAAAAAACCTATTTAAATGAAGTGTCAAAAACTTTCAAATTTTGTATTATTAATCTATGTAACAATATAATGTTCAATTTATTAACTTAAATTTTTTATTAATTTTTATTTAATAGTTTTTCAGGAAAATTCAGGAGCTTGGACCCAGAAAAAGTTTACCTAATTTATTGCTCTATGTGGCTCGGGCTGTGAAGTGAGTTATTCAACATATTTTTTTTCTTATTTTTCCATCGAGAAAAAGTGCATTTGCATCCTTTTTCCATTTTATCTTTATTTTTTTAATACAAATATAAAATTATAAAATTAATTATTAAGTTTATAAAATTATAAAAATTTTGACGAAATAGACAAAACTTTTCCGTGGATTATAACACCACAAATTTGCAAAGTGTGAATAGTAAAAACACAAAAATATTAATTATTAATTACGTAAAATTATAACTTTTTAGTAAGATTGAGAAACCTTTTCCTAGATGATAACTCCACAAATAATAAATAAAAGTTTTAAGTTTCAAGGTAACAATCAACTTGCATAATATAATAAAGGAAAAACAATCATCATCAAGAAAAATTTAAATTTGCATTATAAAAAAAAATAGCACGAATATTTCTACTAGATGTAACATTGCAATTTTTTAATAAAAAAAACCATTAAATATAATTAAAATTTATATTTACAAATTAGGTCAATCTTCTTAATATTTATAGCAGAATATATTTTAAATAATAATTTATAAAATAATAAAAAAAATTCATTTTCGATAATAAAAATTTTTACCAACATCCGTACTTTTATTTAGATCATAGATTACAAATATAGATAATATATATATATATATATATGTACCTATGTGAACAAATATACACACATGTAGCTTACATAAAGCATGAGTATACTATAATCTCATATATATATATATATATATATATATATAAAATCGGTTGTTACCATGCTCATCCTTACTCTAACCTAGATGTAATTAAAGCAATTAAAGGCTTGTTAAGTAGGCATTGAGAGGTTAGCATAAGTCATATATATAGGGAAGGGAACAAAATTACCGATTTTACGGCTAATCTAGGATTTGAGTTAAATTCTGATATTTCTTTATATGACTATCCATCAGAAAAGATATCCTGTCTACTCCTTAATGATATGATAGGAATCTGTATTCTACGTTTGATTAATCCATAAATTTCACTTTCAACAAAAAAAAAATAATTAGGAACAATGTTTTACATCTATAACTGGAAATAGAGGACAAGAACATGAAAGAGTCTAATAATGAGTGATGAGGCAGCCGCCATGGTGGGAAAGGCCCTGTTAGTTAACAGATTTTCAGTTTCTTTGGTGGGAAGCAAAAAGCCCTAGCTTTCCTCGGAGGCAGTTAACTAACTGTTCCTAAACCCATGTTTCCTATTTTATCTCAACCCACCACATCCCCCCACAAATTCAGTTTATATAGTTTCTTGGTTGCCATTATAGAGTAGGGTCTTACCATTATCTTTGGTGTCTCCCCAGGTCAATAAGCAGCACAACATTTTGACAGTTTTCTTCTCTAATTCAGGTATTTTACCCTTCTATCTCTTCCACATTTCCCTGCTCTAAAACCTCTCTGCATGTTCCTCACGTCCTGGTGATTCCAGGTTTTTACCAGCCGCCATGGTTTTGAGTTCATACTCCAACTGGGGAACTGATCTCCAAAGTGTTCACTTGGAGCCAATCCATCATGCAAAACAACCTCAGGCGCAGCTTGTTGCAGGAGATCATCATCTTGATTATTACTGGGATACGTTTGAGTTGCCTTGTGCTTTTCTTGATCCTTATACTGACCTGAATGAAAATTTCTCATACCCTGAAAGCTACAATCCTTTACTTCCATACTTGTCCTCTCCATATGACCCTTTAAGCGCCTTCTCACCTGAAAACGAAATCATCCCATATGAAAACTTCAGCTCCTATCCATGCCCCAAACGCCAGAAACTCATTGAAGGTCACTCCTGCTCGGATTTTGTGCCTGCTTTCTTTGACGGGGTTGGTCTATATTCTTGTCCCGTGCCTGAACATCAAAGCAGCATTCATCAGATAAACTTGGATGGAAATTCTGCGGAGAGCTCGAAGAAGATTAATGCTAAGAGTGTATCAGTGCAAAGCATTGCAGCGAGAGAAAGGAGGAGGAAGATTACTGAGAAGACTCAAGAGCTGGGAAAGCTTGTTCCCGGTGGGAATAAGATGAACACCGCTGAAATGCTTCATGCTGCCTTCAAGTATATCAAGTATTTGCAAGCTCAAGTTGGAATCCTTGGATTCATGGACTCGTTCTCGGTAATTTTCTCATACCTTAATGAACCTTTTTCTCGAAGTTTTTTTTTTTTTTTATAATTAGGAGAGAGGAAATTCGAACCTTACGTTTTAAGCAGAGGATAATGCACCAACCAATGAGCTAAATGCTCATGCCTTTTTCTTCCGAAAAGAATTCAATTTCCAACAGCAATACAAATTTAATTTTCCAATATTCAATATAAAATTTTCAAATATCCAATTGGCTATTTAATGTCTAAAAAAGTGAGTGAAGGTGGATAATGGTGAAAATTAAACAAGAGAACCACTTGAAACTGTTGTTTTTATATAATATATAAAGAGAAAAAAGGAGAGTAATTGCTAACATTGGCAAGGAATTTTAAACAAATGCAGGAAAAGGAGAAGGCGACTCGTAAGGAAAGCATGCAAATTGTAACATCCCCAAAGGTTCAAGAAAAGCTTTCCATGGAAGAAAAGTGCCTGGTTCCAAAGGACGTTGTTCTCTCCTTGGCAACGCTTTCTAAACCCCCACTCTCTGATGAACTCAGTCAGCTATTAGCATTTGCACCCCTTGAATGATTTAAGTCTTCACCTCCATTATTTAACCATTTCTCTACTAATGCTTGGTTTGTGTAGCTTTAACATGTAATTGCATCACTTTCTCAATGCAACAACTAATGGTTAACATTCAAGATTCCAGCAGTCTCGTGGAAGAACACTACCTAAATCCATGATCTTATCTTTGTTCTTCTACTAAAGCTGTTAATTTTACATTTTTTCTTTTCTGGGTTGCCTCTTTGTGGTCATGGTTGATCTGTTTCTATTGGGTTGCCCCATCCAGTGTTGCTTTTTGTTTAGTTCATCTTGGAATTCTATTTGATCAATTCAACAATCTCGCTTTTTCAATTTTCAAAGCTTTTTCCTCAGTAAACAAAGTAAACAAAACACACATGGATGATGACATTAGCTCATGGTAGAGTAATGTTGAAGTAAATGAAGGGAAAAGAGCAAGTCTTGATCTCAGGTTCCTTCATTCAACCTTTTAATGGGCACCAACGGACCCGAATTACCTGATCTTAGCTCAAGTGCGCATAACAAGAATAACCTGAGTGCTCAAAATTAACAACCAATAGGAAACAAACTTATGCTGCTGCTGCTTATTTATTTATCTTTGACCAATACCAATGTTCCAACACTGGTCATCACCCCTTAAGCTCCTATGAGTCATCTGCTGCCCTAAAAATGGGATTGCAAGCAGCAGAATCCTATGTTGTCAGCTCATGTGAACAGCAAACAACATTTTTCATAGACATCTTAGAATTCAACATTTCTGTTTTCAAACCAGGTGTGGATCTGAGGTTACCATACAGGTGCAAACTGGAAATGAAAAATGATGAATTATATTCAACTGTTATAGATTCGACCCCTTTTCTTCGCAATCTGAGTACTGAACTTGCCGATCTCAAGCTGTTTTGCTCTGAACATTTTGACCAGGTGGCATTAAGATTTACAGTGAAGTGTCAACAGGTGTGTCTGATTGTGCACCCCATTCGGTCCAAGATCCATCATACACAGCAACATCAGACTTCCCAAGTCGATGGAGGCCCTGAAATGTATCAGCATGAGACACAACTATTTTTGAATATTATCTTTTCCAAGCAGAAGAGAAAGAGTGGATAGAACTCGGTTAGAAAAACTACATTATTTTTCCCCCTCCTGAGGTTTAAGGGGAATATGGATAAATGTTAAACATAAAGGTAGAGATGGACCAGGAGCACATAGCAAGGGAAAGTACCAATGCCAGAACACAAGCAGTTACACCAGTGCCACAAGAAGTAACAACAGGGCCTTCCAATGAGATGCCTGCAGAAGAATAAGTCATTAGTCAGCATCAGTTTGCTTGGAAAATAAAAAAATGTCAAGATCAACCATAAAACTTCTTATAAACAAACATCAAATATAAACTTCTTTATAAGCAAAAGTAAAGAGACAGGCAATGGCAAAGCTAGATGATTCATCAAGAGGCAGAATAAAAGCACATTCAGTATAATGCTGGCATCATAAACCACATAAAATCATATTGAAAGATTGGTTAAGCTATGAACTGTGTGGATGCCCCACAACCATATTGGATGCGACACCACAGGCATCAGTGTCTAATTTTTCTATCTGAAATCAGTAGAGTTACAGAGTCAAGTGTGCAGTTTATATTGCTTTTAAAAAAAAAAAAAAGTGTGCAGTCCATACTGCTCAATCAAGGAAACTTGCAGCCTTTTGCAAATGAGCTGTCCTTGACATTATTATGAGACAGAAAAACTCAATAAATATTTTCCATTATTGAGAATGAACTATTGGAGTAGCTAAAGATTCGAAATTCTATTTATTAGATAGCTCAAACCTTAAACCCACATAATAGATTGCATAAAATGGAGCAGATATTAAGATTTGACAATGATGTTGGTTGATGAAGGGGCTATTGTTGGGGTTTAATTGTATAAATCAAGCAAAGGGATTTCTGAGATAGAAAACCAATATATGATACAGATAAAAAAATAAAAGAGCAATTGATGAATTTTTTTTCTCTGAAGAAAAAATACAACATATTGATAAAAAAAATCAAATTAAGAAAGCAACATTTTAATAGAAAATTAATATATGATACACATTAAAAAACAAACAGAAGATACGATACACATAAGTGAATAACATGACTTAGTATAAGGAATATTTCAAGCACACAAACAAGTTCAGATTAAAATGCCACAATTAATTTGACCATGGTCAAACTTTTATTCAACTATGCATATATTTGACAGTCTACCTAATATTTCAAACTATTAGATGCTAAGGATGCCACAATATAATGAATTTGGGAAGAATACAAAGCAAGGGGGCAAGGAACAATGATAGAAAGGAAGCTAAATAGTACTCACCTTCTTCCTGAAATCTTTTCTCAAGCTCATCAGCGGGTAAAAGTGTCTGTGAAGCATCCAACATCTGCAAAGAAATGCCAAACTTGACCAAATTAATAGACCATTCCAGAAAATAATCCAAAAAAACCATATTAAAAAACACAAGAAAAGAGAGTGAAAGGCAAGAGCAAAGAACTGGACAAAACAAAGAAACAACCAAATTGGACATATGACTTTCTTTCTCCCTTTTTTTCTCACAACTACAATGTTGCCACTTCCTACATCACCAGTAAAAAATCAAGAGAACTTCAGCGTGTTTATCCAACATCTGTGTGCATCAACAACTTCATACAGCACACACCAAAAAGAGATATTGAGAGACCCCCTTGTGCTCCTAATTTGAAAATAAATCATCCTACACCACATCCAACCAACCTTCTCTCTCTCTCTCTCTCTCTCTCTCTCTCTCTTCTCTCTCTCTCTCTCAACACACACACACACCACACACACACAGACATAAAGAAAAGGTATCTATTAGGACTTCAGAAATGTACATACACATCACCTCTTCATAGCATGCAAGTAAAATATGAAAATCTTTTATCACTTACATGGGGAAAAGGAATACATTTGCTGCCAGGGACATGGCCACTTCTTATTCCCTTGCGAGGTTCTGGTGCAGCACCATCAAATCTGCATTAAACCCCAAAACAGGAAAAAAAAGTTAAAAAACAGAAAAAAGATTTGATATGCGAGGAGGTCCAACATCATGTCAGCCCAACTTATATGCCTTTATACGGTTGAATTTTAGGCACCATGGGCTCTCCTCCATCCGAGTCCATGAGGCACATTTCCTTCAAATTTTAAAAAGTTGAAAGGCAAAAATCCTGTTACAAAATTTTATGTATGTTGTGTGAGTGTTAATTTAAGTATTAAATTTAAAAAAAAAAAAAACTAATGAACAAAGCAACCTGCTGAAACAAGAGAGGAGATAGGCTGCCAAGAATCAGCACTTATGCCACATAAAGACTGCTCTACTCCTCTAAATTTGCTGATATTCACCATTCTTGTTAAATGCATCACATTACTCCAGCAGCTAACTTTCCTAGTCAAGTTTTCTACCATTCATTGACCTCATCTCTTACTTCCAAAGGCTCGTTCCACCAAACTAATGACTATGGTTTTCTTGATACCAGCAGTCAAACACAGAGGCCAGGAAACATCAAAAACCTCATTATATCAAACCAACATCCAAGATGTTGAGACATCCAAATCTACTTAGATAGGTTGCACAGTGATGCGAGAAATGAACCCAAAACAGAAATTTGATTCCAAAAGAAAAGACAATAAGAGAATCCAATGAAAGCAAAGAGATCATTTACAAAGTGAAATGGCAGGTCTTATGATTTCTAAGAATAAGGAACATGGTGAACATCTATTTCTTGAGCTAAACTTTTTTAAGAAAAAAAAAAAATATGAAACCTAATTGCACCAAAATTCCCCATTGAGCACAACTATAATAAAAATAAATCCCAACCCTTAAAATAATTTAAATCTCAAGTCTCAACCATCCAAAATAACCAAAAGAAAAAGACCTAAAAACAAAAACAAAAATAAAAATAATAAAGAGTCAAAGACTATAAAGTTATGCCACGGTAACAAAATAGTAGAGATAATATTAGGATGCTCAAAAGAGTGATGATTTCAGTCTGTAGTTAATGATGGGTTTTATATTAGGAAGTGAAATTTCAAGATGTAACCATTCATATGATTAAAACAAGCTGATGGAATCGAGAAGTGCTATTAAGATATCATGTGATCACAAGGTATTAGCCAAGTTCAACAGGATATACTATAACACCATAAAACCAGTTAGGCTTTAATGTACTAAGCTTTTGAGCAGTTAGAAGACAACATATCTGTGATATGGGTGCAGCTGAAATGAAGATATCTGAGATGGATGTCGGTCATGAAATGGAATCATTTAAAAGAAGGTAGAGGTGCCACCAATTGAGGAGAAACTAAAAGACAATGATAAAATGGATTAATCATGGGCAACATAGATATAGGGTGTTTTAAAATAGCAGGGTAGGTTAATTGAAGCAGAAAGAAAAGGGAAAATACAAAGAGGGAAAAATGGTAAAGATAAACAATGGTTATTGAGGCAATAAAAAAGGATTTGAATTTTTAATCTTTCAGAAGACAGCCTGAATTGAACAGAATGTAGAAAACAGATTCAGGTAGCCAATTCCAACTAGAGAGGGATTAAGGCTTACTTGAGTTGATTAGACTGATACAACACCCTAGAATATGCTAAATATGTCTCTTCATTTTAAAGAAAAACAAGGGGCTCCTGGATCATGCTGGCAACTAGAACCACCCTAATAGGCCAACCAACAGCATCCATTCCACTCAGGATCTAGTTTAATTCTAGTTTCTGCTGGTTTTAGACAAATTCCCATAACATTAAAGAGGTTTATGAGTTTTATTAGTAATAATAATGACACAGATTTGAGTTTACCCTGATATCTATTGCAAAAATTTCAGTCCTGTAGTAGATTCAAAGCTAGCCTCTACTTTACAATCTAAGAAGCATTATTATGCTTTCGTGGACTGAAAAATGCAAGAACAAGCCCACACCTTAGGTCACATGCCACTTACATCAATTATTGTGAAAATAAATTTCATTTAGGTCCGAAATTCAGTTAATTTAAGATTGTATTTACAGCATTTCCAAGGCACTAATAGGGCAGACATGTTGATTTCTGCTCCTTGTCAACAACACAAGGCGAAGTATTCAGCTACAAGAACTGAGTGCTGAAGGAAAACAAAATTATTCAATACCTGTAACTGAAAGCATTTTTACCATATTAAATTCATATGTATCATACAGACATTAAGAAAACATAGTCAAATATACTCAATCAAATAAGATTATGCATTACCGGGGCTTAGAGCGGGCATCTATATGCTGGTGAGTTTTTTCCTCAATGTTTCTTCTAACCTGAAAAAAGAAAAAAAAGACAGAAGGTATGATCTAATATAACACTAATGTGTTCAAATAATGGGGAATTTATGTCCCCTGATGGACTATCATCACAGCTATTGCCATAAAATAGAACATCTATGCTGCTCAGACTTGAATTTGAGTGCTGGACATGGTACATGCCCCAAAAAGTACTTTCAACTGTTTGTGAGCATTGCGTACATAGACTGTTTTAACTCTATAACCATGTGAGCTTTAAGGCATCCACTCTATTTCTGATGCAGAAATGCTAGTAAAAATGAAGAATCAGAGTAACATACAAGATCACCAACTAGACAAATTACATATGCCACCTCTTACTTCTAAGGAAATAATTTTAGGTTGTTATACATTGCACATACAAGATCACCAAATAAACACATTACATAGGCCACCTTTTACTTCTACAGAAACAATTTTTGGTTGTTAAACATTGCATTCTACAGATTTTTCTTCAGAATTTAAAAATGGTGCAACACTATCAAGCCCAAGTACATATAAAGAAGACAGCTAATCAACTCAGACCAAAGTGTATAAAGAATTGACCACTTTATATAAACAATCATTAGTTTTTAATCTCATAACACATATGCAGGCATGCTCTTCCTTTATGCGACTGATATAAACTCATAATGTCTAAAATTCTATACTTGTCCTATTCAGCGTGAAGCTTTTTTAAAAAAAAATTATTTATTTATCAGACCATAGTAAATTATAGTGTGATATATGTGAATGCAAATAAACGTTCAGATGGGTTCATCATATCATAAAAATCCTGCATCATGATTACTGCAAGGTCACAACAGTAGATCTGGTCATGAAGGTGAATCCACTTTAAAATTTCAATTATTACCAACCAACATTTCAGTAGTTAAACTAAACTAAAACAGCAAAACCATAATTCTATTTGTTGAACAGAAATATTAGGTAATTAGGTTAGTAATTTAACCTGATCGAGTGTCCAGACAAGATGTGGCTGAAATTTTGTCTGAAATGTGACTGGTCCAGCCTGCAAAACAAAGATACATGCAGATGCAACTAAAACTACTGAGCATAAGATTTTAAAAATGAAACGTGAGAGAATTTAAGGTTATATTTTATTATTCAGATCATAGATCTTCAACCCAGTAACTGAACTGCCAATTGCTACTGAATGACGTCCTTAGTATTTCCAATAATCTTGCTTGCTTCTAGTTAAGAGGCATCACTTCAACAACATGGCAGCAACAACTCCCTGGCAACAGCCACATTTTGTAGCATGGAAACTATTCCCCACCCCCTCCATCCCAGTCAATAATTGCAAGTTCAGATTAAAAGAGAAATAGAGATCAGGAAGTAACTATACTTACTGTTTGTCCCTGATAGACTTTCTCTATAGCCTCACTGGCAGCACTGGCTTTCAAAATAGCATCACTAGAAGCACTAGATTCAACATCATATCCCGATGCACGCCACCTTGGGAGGCCTCCATCTAACACCCATACTCGGTCATGCCCAAAGACTCGGAACATCCTTTCAATTATCAATTGGATCAAGTTTGTTAGATTTGATATCAGAAAAAAATGATCAACGATTTCAGAGAAGGCTCAGAAGATATCATAATCTTATTATCAACAATGCTACTCACCACCAGACACGTGCTGCACTAAAAATTCCCTTCCCATCGTAAACAACCAGTCCATCATTATTCTGGATGCCAAGAGCAGACACCGCAGCAGCAAAGGCTTCCTCAGATGGCAGCATATGTGGCAACTGACACAAGTAACAGTTTTTAAATAGAGAAGCCAAATACGATTAACGAACTGGTTCATACGTTATTCAAAGGCTCACTTACCTAGTATCTTCAATGTTAATACATCATGTAACAACTATCATGAATATTTGTTTGAATCAAATTACTGGGAATATTCAAGGAAGGCATATATAAAGTTATAGCGTTTATTCTAGAATTGTCAAAGTACCTTCTTTTACTTTTTTAAGAAAAACTGCAATCTTATGGCACATGTAATATGCCTAATGGTGGCCAAAAATAACTACGAAAAGAGTTTTTCAAATCTTCCTCCCACAAGGCACAACTTTATTATGAAAAAAGGGAACATTTAAAGAAAGAAAGAAAACCTGAATATCTACTACCTTTCCCAAAAATATTGTAGATTATTTATTAACAATAACACATCATAAATCCAGTAAAATACATTAACAGATTATCTGTGGAAGAGAACAACAATGCTATCAAGCCACACCAATAAAGAATAATTTAAATAATCATGATGCATTCAAGACTTTAAAAAGAATAATTTACAGGGAATTGTTTTCATTCCCTGTTTATAGAATGAAATTTCTATTTTTCCCAAAAAAAAAAATCATGACGCATTCAAGACATTTAAGTAAATAATAAGCCACCGAAGTAAAAGAAGAAAATTGACGCTAACTGCTAAGCAAGTCCTTGCTTTACAGAACCCAGTGGGAAGCAGCAGGATATTAAGAGAAAAGAAAAAGTAAGACCAGGGTTTTGAAGAAACAAAGAATTATGCAAATTACTTTCTCCTACCCACTTCAATGGTCTAGCAAACAGAGCATGCAAATTACTTTCTCCTACCCACTTCAATGGTCTAGCAAACAGAGCACCCGAGAGATCAAGAGAAACTAATCAATTAATAAAAGGCATCTCACCTTTGTAGTTCGATCCGCTATTCCATCAACATCAAAGAAAAGAGCACCAGGAATGTGAGCAACCTGCTATGACAAATGATGTCTTACAGAAACGCACTTGAAATTGAAAACATTGGAATTAAAAGAAAGGAATTGAGGAACTCAAGTGGCATATCACGATTAATATTAGATAAGAAATATAAATTCAATAATCAAAAGCATTAAAATTGTCTTGAGTGTATGATACCAAAATATATTGTAAAAGATCAGCACCTGATACTCTTGAATAGGATTCCTCTGCTCGTCTGGCATGTACCAGGATGCATCCAGCACCTGAATAAAATAAATAATGAAATCAATTGACAAATAAACAATTTTTCCAAAGACACCATATGCTAATAAACTCTGGACAGGCTAAAGGCAGAATTCATAACAATGTTTTCACGACACTATCAATAATTCTCAGATTGCCAAATTTTTGTTTGTTTAGTAACTCAGAAATGTCTTCAGGAAACTGTTCTCAAAGTATCTCCTATCTCAGAGAGCACATATTTGTAGTTTATACCAAATTTTACCTACTTTATAATTTTCTTTTTTTTTCTTTCAATTGAGATACAGAGATGTCTTGTCAGCCAGAAAACAAAAGAAAAACGGATTTAGTTCATGTTCCCAAGAACACATGTTCTTTTCCTTCAATAAAATAAATTTGAGGACAGAAAAGATGCCCTTGGAAACCTGATGTATGATAGCTAGATGTTTAGAAGTTCTTTCAGTTTTGTGAACAGGGATTTAGGGCTGGGCTTGAATTTGGCAGTTGTTTTAACATGGATTTAATAACATTTTGATAGATTATTCTTATAAGTTTAAAAAGACTGATTTAGGGCTGCTTGTAATAATGAAACAGCAGTAGGAAATAGATAATGAGGAGATCTAGGTTTAACATCTAGATTTCCTAAGGAGTCACAATAACTGCAAGAGTAATGATATTGAAAATTAATTTGGTAATAAATGCATAACCAAACAGATAGATAAAATTGACAGGTGATGCCTAAGAACGTGAGTATCAGCAAATATACAAATATATGCTAATGCCATTATGTACACAGAGAATAATGAGGGAATAGAGTATCAAAAGTGGCAAACACAAATGGTACCATGATGTCATACATGACAACCATTACTTCAAACTCCAAAAAGTAACAAGAATGACTAAGCATATGCTTTGAAAGGGTTCCTGGTCCATATATAAATTCAAACACCTTCATATCAGGCTCCCTTAGATTAGCATGGAGCCAATCAACAGAAACGACCGGATCATTCGTGGATAGAGATTGCATCGAAAAATTAGTTCTTCTGTCAATTGCTGAGGAGGCCATAAAACGATAAGGCCGACCAGATGTTTTATATGGTGTATAGGTAGGCTCAGCCTGTACACAAAGCTGTCTCTTCTGCAAGTAATAACAAAATGCGAAATAAGATATGGGCCAGACAACCATCAAAAGCACAATGAGATGAAAGCCGTAGTTCAAAGTTAGATATAAAAACTTTCCAAACAGTACACAGTTTAATATTTTAAGTTATCATCAGAGGTACACATGGACAGAGTAGTGAATTTCAAAATACCAAATGCCAGAATTTCCCATGATAATGAATTCTTCAAAGTAGCCAAATTTCACTTATAAACCAAAAGAGAAGCAGCCACTATAGCATTAGATATATCTAACACAATTTCTGTGCAACAAACAGACTAAAAAATTTCCAACTGAAACATCTTATAAGAATCAATGAAACAACAGCCAACCAACAAGCATGCACAACTTCACACATACCGTTAAAATAGGAACAAAAGAACTACACACAAACTGAATGATCAGACCAAATAAAAACATATATCAGAGATTAACTCGTCAAGCATAAAACAGCTTAAAAAACCTTAATCTCCATTAGGTTTCGTACATACTAATATTCCACGAAGAGCATTGAAATAAAAATTATAATTAATCAAAGAAAACACAAAATTCGCAGTAACAATAGTCAAACCACTATACCCTTTGGGTAAGAAAGACAGAAAATAAAATAAAGCATCAGAACTCAAACCCATTTTCCAAAAGTGATAAATTGATCACATGCAGCAAAAAAGAAAAGAAGGGAAAATGAAATACCCAGAAAGCAAAACCGATTACTACAATCAGAAAACCACAGATTAAGAAAACCCCAGATAAGAACATTTTCTTTCAAAAAGGAGGAAGAGATTGCTGCTTACATTGAAAAGAGAAGAGAAAATCAGGGGTTTGTGTGTGAGAGAGGATGAGAATTGACTCAAGCGGTGACCCAAGAGAGTTCTGGAGAGAAGAGATGATGCCATTTATGCACAAAACATATAGAAAAAGGTGTTTGAGGTTGTTGAGAGAGACTCTACTTCGTTGGTGCCGCCAGATTCTTTGGAGAAAGAAGCCAAAACAGCCCTGACTTTGATATCTGTGCGGTTTTGCAGCTTCAATGTTTTTGTTGCTGCTGAAAGTAGCGGTAGTGGAGACTGTCGAGAAAGCGTCTAAACTCAGTATGGAATTGGGATGGAATGGAGATGGGGCATGGTTGGATGATAACTACTCGTCTGCAACTATTAAGGGGCATTTTCTTATTGGCATTGCATTTGAGGCAGGCCTTCCACGGGCAACCCAGCCCGTCGGGCCCTATTTGGGCCAGAGCCTGGATAGTATTTTTAGATCCAGCTCCATCAATCTATACAATATTATTATATTAATAAAAAATTATATTTTATTTTACTTTAATTTTAAAATATATTTGAATTCGACGGCGCTATGCAGCGGGTTTATAAAATTTTATAAAGACTTATATAGAGCTGTATTTTTCGCAAAATGTATTGAGTTTACAAAATACAGTTGATGTTGAAATTTGTGATTTGTCTACAAAAAGTGTTTGCAGTGTAATTGAAGCTAAATATGGAATTATTACAATATTCAATGCCAAGAAGTAACTATATTCTTTCCATTTAGTAGTATATTGCTCTTGATTTCAAACAAGTGAGCTCCTCCTACAAAAGCAAAATCAAACATTTAACTTTGATACCTAATTTTTTCCAGGTCTATATATGTTAGTGCCTTTGGTTCTTTTTGAAACCCACTCCAATTTCACTATTTTACCATGTGAAGGTTTTGTTGCTTTTGGTACCCACACACTTTTGACTTCCTTACCTCTAAAAGTAGTAGCTCTCAAAGGACAAGTGTAAGTAGAGTGTCCTCCTTTATGACAATAAATGCATTTGATAGAGGATCCAACTTTTACATTTTCTTTAAAAAAGAAACTTTTAAAATGTATTTCCTTTTGAGTTCCATCATAGTCTATTTCTTTTTTGTCAAAGAATGCTCTTTGTGTTTCTAGCATATTATTTAATTTTTATTGACTCCTATTAAACTTTGAGAATGTAGCATGCAAATTTTCATTTTTCCACTTTAACTCATTTTTCTCAATTTCCAAGTCTTTGACTACGATTTCTAGTTTTAGTTTTGCTTTGACTAAAAACTCATTTTTACTTTTAAGTTTAGTTATAATGTTCTTATATTCAATGCTTTTTCTTCAAATTCAAATATTAAGTCATCATATGCATCTTGTAATTTATCAAATGAGTATGATTCTTGATCTAAAGTGTATGAATTTGAATCATGAGTAGAGCATGCCTTGGCATCCTCAAGTGCCATGAAACAAAGATTGGCAACTTCATCCTCTTTATCTTGAGAGTCATTATTATCACTACAAGTGACCACCATGGCTTTCTTCTTAAAGTTCTTTGGAACACTCTTCTTGTTTGGACATTCATATTTGGTATGTCCTGTTTTTCTGCACTCATAGCATATTAAACGGTCTTTGTTATGTTTCCTTTTTGGCATGTCTCTTCTAGAAGGCCTCTTACCTCTATAGTTCTTTCTCATAAATTTACTAAATCTCTTGACTAGCATGGTTATATCCTCATCTTCCTCACTCTTATCTTTTACATTTCACTCATCTTCTTCAATTTTGGATTTTAAGGCTATTCTTTTCTTTTTATTATCCTTATTCTTTCAATCATCTAAAGCATTCTTATGTTTTATTGTCATCTCATAAGGAAGTAGAGATCCTATAAGTTTCTCTAGTTTGATTTTTTTTTTTTAAATTTCTTGCTTCCTCTATATCATCACTTTTGGTCTCTACGATTTAGGAAGACAATAAAGTATCTTTTTAATAAGTTGGGCATTCAAGGAAATCTTTTCCTAAGGTTTTTAATCTTCTAACTATATGAGTGAATCTCTCATACATTTTATTTATGGTCTCATTTTTTTTTTCATCATAAATAGCTCATAATCATGTGTGAAAAGTCTATTTTTGGATTCTTTTACTTGGTTTGTTCCTTCATATGTTGTTTCTAAAGTATCCCAAATGTGTTTAGTAGTTTCACACATAGATACTATATTGAATTCACTATTACTTAAAGAACAAAAAAGTGTATTGAATGCCTTACAATTTGTTTGTATTAACTTTTTTTCTTTGTTATCCCATTCTTTCCTAGTTTTTATAATGGCTTTTTTATCTAATTTCTTAGTAGGAATATAAGTGTCATCTAAGATAACATTCCAAACATCAAGATCAACTGATTGAATGAACATTTTCATTCTTTTCTTCCAATAGGATAGTTCGTACCTGAGAAGAATGGAAGTCTATGAGTTGTATACTTTTTGCCAAGAATAGCTGAGGTAGATTCCATTTGATAAGTTGAGCTTTGCTTTTCGGATCACTAAAGACTGTTAGACCTGCAAACTTGAGCCCTCACTCCGATACCAATTATTAAGTTAAATAGCTCAACATGTTAAGTCCAAGAAGGGGGTTGAATTGGACTATCTTCAGAATTAAAAATAAATTGTTTTAGAACAAAATCTTTTTTTTAAATCACAAGCTTAGTTTAAAAAGAAAAAAAAACTAATTAGCTTCTAGATCAATGAAAGAAAATTAAATTTTTAAGTAAAATGAATAGTAGATAAATTAACACAAGTGCTGTATAAAAGTTCGGCCTCCTTGCCTACATCCTTTCCTTTAGGTTCATTAAGGAGTTTAAAATCCACTATTCAATCAAAAAGCTCAATACAATACCTTTTGTGGATCAAACATAAACTTACAATACAATACCTTTTTATGATTAAGCACAACTACTTTACCTTTTCTATTGGTTAAGGTACAACCACTTGAGCAAATACAATAAGAGAAATGTAGGTATAGCAAGAGTGCCTCTTAAAGGCTGAGTGGAGAATTTGGTGCAATACTCGAAGAAAAGAATGGAAGCCTAATAAATGCTTGACTAAAAGACTTTTTGTATTTAAAAAGAGTACAATACGTTTTGAATGTATCTTAGCTACTTCTCCTTTCTTAAGTTGTGTTTTCAAGTCTTTTAACCTTTATAAATGCTAAGGGAGCTTGTATTTATAGTTGTTGAAGCTTCAAGGGTAGTTGAGAGAGCATTTAATATGAAAATAGCCATTTTTCTCTTTATCCAATTCTTCAATGATTATTTTGTATCGATACATATGTGAATGTATCGATACATTGCCTTCTGTTTTGAATTCTTGCCAAGTTGTATCAATACATTTATTCATGTATCTATATATTTGAACTTACCTACAAGAATCTCTATAATCTGCTTAAATATGTATCGATACATGACACTATGTATTGATACTTTTAGATCAGTGAGCATTCTGTGAAAAATCTATCGATATATTTGAGAAATATATTAATCCTTTTAGGTTAGTATGCATTCTATCTCAATTTTATCTATACAATTAAGGATGTATCAATAGATTAAGTTTAACTTTTGGGTTTTAACTTTTATTAAAGAACATGTAGCTATAGATGTCGTAATCTATCGATACTTATCCAAATGTATCGATACATGAAGAACATGTATTGATAGATCTGGACCAAAATGCATTTTCAAAGCTTGTTTTCACTTCTTTTCTTTTTCCAACTTACTTGGCATTGTTTGAGAACATGAAACCTTTGATCTTTTGTGAATTAGGTGAAATTTTGATCATTTCTTTTTGTCATTTGAAAATATAAAAGATAATTAGGTTAACAACATAGAAATAAGGCATCACTTCATTAAAAACCATGTTAAAAAGAAAGATGACATTATTCTTGAATATGTTAATACCAAAAAGCTGATATTTTCACTAAACCTCTTGGCAAAGAAAACTTTTGCAACATAAGAAGTGAATTAGCTATCACAAACCCAGTTTTGATGAATTAGATAAGGAAAATTGGATGCTCTTGGTGACCTTTGATGTGAAAATTTTAACTTAATGGAGTCCACTTACTTACATATAAATTTCTTGACTTTGTGATCATATAGATGACAATTATGCCAACTAATTGATTTCATTGTAAGATTTATGTTCATGCATTTCACTGAATCTTGCATTCACAGGCATAGCCACCCAACTCAAGAAGCACCTCACAAAATTTGTTGAAGAGATCATTTTTTTAAGTAAAATCCAAGTTTTTTATCCTAAAAATATCACTTGCACTAGTCCAAAATGATGTTTGAAGTGTTTCTCTCACATTTTTAAACTTATTCTTGATCAAAAACTCTATTTTAGACCTTTTTGCATGTTTTTAAAAGCTGAAACTCTATTTTTAAAGGTCCCATATGAACATCTATTGATAGATAGCTTGCCAAGGCTAACATTAACCCTCTTGTGCATAATATATCAATAAATTCATAATATCTATCGATAAATATAATTCAAAAAAAGCTAGGTGTAATATATCGATAGATCTTACTATCTATCGATAAATGGGGTATCATGACCAACACTAAGTTTGCATGACTACATCTATCGATAAGTGATGCTATCGATAGATAGATTGCTACCCGAGGTTAAACTGTTGCATGCAATCTATCAATAGATGTTACAATCTATCGATAGATGCCTTATTTTAAGAGTCCTTGATACTTCATTTCTCTCAAGCCTGCGATTCCCAACCCTCTCTCCATCCCAAATCCTCTCAACTCACCCTCGTTTTTCCTTGATTCTCATCCATTTAAAGTATTTTTCACCATTTTCTACCTCTTGCCTACAAAATTCCCCAAATTAGCCTTTAATTTTTGTCGAATGCCAACTTAGGATTTTCCAAACCCTAAGTTCAATCTCTCTTAGATTTTTGCTATTTCATTGTGATTTGTAGTAAATTAGTCTAATTAAATTCAACTTCTAAGCCTTCTCTACCGTTACATTTAATCCTTTCTTTCCAAACTACTTAAATTCCCTAAAATTCCAACATGAGTCAAAGGCCCAAACACACCAAGGTTATCTCTTACCAGAGTTCTAGCGGCTCTATTTGTGCCGGGTCATCATTCACCTTGGACATGAATTCTTTTTTGTGAAATTTCATATATCCATCGTATGCTTAGATATTAAATGATAATTTCACCAAACACAAGGTAATGTCAGGGCACATCATTGACTTTGATTACTTAAAGTCCATTAATTTTCCTTACTTAGCCAACTTTGAATATTTAGAATGGACCTATTATCTAAAATTGAATAGGAAATACTACG